AATAGGTACCTCTTAGTTTCAAAATACTTACAGTATAAATGATTTGTAATTTTACAGGTTGTTACCCCTTTATTCCACAAACGTCGCATATTATTCCCCTGTACCTACACAGAGGTACTGAATACGTAGACTATAACTACAAAAAAGTTACGCTGTAACTTAAGTTTACTTACGCAGTTCTTTGCAGGTTGCATATCTGGTAGTTACCCCCTTATTACCCAAACGTAACACATTGTTCCCTTATACCTACACGTACATTCTTTATAGGCAGGGGTGAACATGCACTCTAAAAAATGCTGGGTTAAATATAACCCAGCGCTGGGTTAAAACGGGACAAACCCAGCTATTGGGTTGTTTTGACCCAGCGGTTGGGTTGTTTTGCAGTGCAAGCCTGAGAATGCACGTCTGAGAGTGCAAGCGCCAGCTGCAGCCAGACCCTTCTGCGCGCATGCGGACCTGCAGACCACTTATGTGCGCCCGTTTATAGGTACACTATAATTATAGAAACGTACACCCACCCAGGGACACGGGAAGTAGGTGTGCTGAGGGGGCTGCAGCACCCCCTGTTTTCACATGGTTGCAAATGCAATGCCAAGTTTGTTCATTTAAATTTATTCAGTTTTAGCATTTAATAATTTATTTGTAATGATCTTCCTGGGAAAATGGCACGTATGGTCACCCTACCTTAAATTCAGTATACTTACGTAGTTCTTTGCGAGTTGTAATCTAAAGCATTAGGCCTACCGGACTTTTCAATAGGCATTTGGATTATTGCAAAAAATATGCTCTGTGTGCAACCATAGTTCATGAAACTTACAAGTTTTGTCCATCAAGATAATCTTCACAAAATAATATAACTAGAACACGTGACGCTGGCGCGTGGCATCAGACATGAACTGTACAGAATGCAAACAAGATTAACTTTAATACAAGGAGATAAAGGCGCAAAAGCGAATTTCAGATTTTTTTTAAATGCCCATCCCAGCAAAAACTTTCCAAAATCGGCATCCAAACAACACCAGCCCCAGCACCGTAGTTCTTTGCGAGTTGTAATCTAAAGCATTAGGCCTACCGGACTTTTCAATAGGCATTTGGATTATTGCAAAAAATATGCTCTGTGTGCAACCATAGTTCATGAAACTTACAAGTTTTGTCCATCAAGATAATCTTCACAAAATAATATAACTTTTATGAATTTTGAAGCCTAAATAAAAGCGCCAGAACTTAAAAGCTAAACTTAGGCTATAAACAAACTACAGCACCACGGACGCTTGCCTTCAACGTCACCACCACCATGCTTCTGACAACTTTTTCAAACTTATTTTTAACATGTTCAGTGAAAAGGATTTACTGAATTTTAATCCACGCTACACAAACATTTTCATATAAACTGGAATAAATACAAAACTATGGCCAAACTAAAACTGAAATGAGACATTAATAAATAGAATAGTGAATAAATGAACTAATTATAACTAAAGGACATATGAAAGCATTTTGAAATAAGGTGCATTAAAAGTCAATAAATCCTCGATTAATATGTATATTTTAATTAAAAAGGTGTCTCCAAGTATTGAATAAAATTCTAGTGCATTTAGTCTTAAATAACAGCAGAGTGCGTGAGTTAAGATTAAACTTATTTTATTGAATAAAGTACCACATTTCAGCTGTCATTTTGTTAGTGTGGGTACACAAAATGTTATTTTGTCCTTGCTTCTAGAAAATCCTCAATCTATGCTTTCTAACAGCTTCATGTGGCCGTAAACATTTAATTTTAGCGTGGCTTTAAGCACTATGCATCATTAAAGTTTCACTTTTACCATGACTTAGCCGGTAAATGTGGTGTTTACATCATTGTAATAAAGAATAATCGTAATATGAGCTTACCTTACGGTACGAACCCAGAGTCTCTATCAGTAGGAAAGTGATAAAACGAGCATCTTCCATCCGAAGACTTGTGTTGCATTTCGGGGCAAAGCAAAAAAACATTTTCAAGCAACAATATAAAATGCTGGAAACTATTAATTGGTTATTCTACAGTTAATTGTACTATAAATTATACTACAATTGGAAAATACTGTAAATTTATAAACTTTTCGGCGTGATGAAGTTTAATGTCTCCAACAGCGCCTGTAGACCCATTTAGCAACTTGTTAGCAACTATCTTTTTTAAGAAACTTTAACGGTTTAAAAAAAAATGATGAGTGGGGTGTGTTTTATGTCGTAGAATAAAACGTGAAGGGGGGGGGTGTTGGACTAAAATATTCTGTTATTTCTGGTCATAAAGATAGGAGTAAGACATCATTTAAAACTGCAACGGTTCTCCTTTTATTTAAATATACTCACAATAAAAACAAAACCATGCCTTTGTAAAATAAAGCAAAACAATATGCGCTTTGCTGTCTCGGTTTCCTTAAACTAGTGGGTTTAAACCTAATTTAACATTCTAAGTTTGTCGATTAACAGATAGGAAATGAACATCGTAAAGATTAAGAATTAGCTCAGTCAGTGGCGCGTAGGTGGACTTTAGTGGCTGCTGGAATGCATTCGATCACATGAGCATCCACATTATGAATGCAATCTGGTCGAATGAGTTTTCCATTACCTCTGGAAGGGGTCGAAAGTGGACAAGCATAAAGCATTTTAGAGCCCATCTTTATGTAGCATTATCCAATTATGATCAGATTGATGAAAACACATCTTAACACCAGGTGTAAACAGGGCATAACATCAACATCAAAGTAAAAAGTGAAAAAAAAAAAGTCTGTGGGAGGCCATTCCCTCCCAGACCTGATCGGAGCCTTCAGGAATCTCTCTTTGGGCCATTCCTGTGATGTTACAGGGTTCATCCTTAAGGGTCAGGGAGTTTATGGCCCCAGGTCACATGACAAAACTTTTGGGCTCATCAGATGCTACAGAGTAGAGCAGGGGTGTCAAAATCAGTTCCTGGAGGGCCATTTAATTAGGGTTGAATCTAAACTCTGCAGGGCTGTGGCCCTCCAGGAGTTTGACACACCTGGTGCAGAGTATTTGGAAAGCAATACATTTTCATTTAATTATAAACAACATGCAATTAAGTGTCTAAAAACACTACATGCACTTTAGTATATTTTTAATATAGTATCTTAATAATAAGTACTCTAAGAAGGTAAGAACATCTTTTGTGTACTTTTTTTGTTAAATGGACAATTACAGTATAAATGGTTGATTAATTGATTTTGGGGAGCTGCTTCTTAATAAACTGCTTGATGTCCATCATTTCCTGTTGAAAGAAAAGAAGAAGGGAATCAGTTTAAAATGTTTCAGTATATGTTCTACATAAATCCAATTAATGCATTCAAATGCCCTGTTCAAAAACATAGTGAGCATTTTTAGGCTGTCATCCATTTAATAACAAAAATTAAAGTAGTTGGTTGAAGCAAGAAGAAATCCAATGAAGTGTCACACACAGTGCTGAAGCCTATCCCAGTGTATCTTTAAGACCGGGCTAACAAACACATTCACGCTATTGCTTACACTTATGGGCAATTTAGAATCTCCAATTCACCTAAGCTGTTGTTTTTGACTGTGGGGGAAACAGAGTCCTGGTGGAAATCACACCAACACAAGGAAGAAAAGAAATGCCTACTTAAAAAAAGTGGTATTTTTCTGACCAGAAAGGGGCAGCCTGGACTTAAACCGGAGACCTACCACTGAGTTACCACGTTGTTAGCTTAACAGTCACTTATGAGGTTCAATAATGGTTTGGATAAAGCCTTAGAAGATAGCTTCCTATGTAGACACTAAGCAGTAGACAGCAAGGCAACTCATTAGATTTTGGAACAGAGCTACTGTATTCTGAATAATAAAAAAGCAAGAGTAAATAATAAACTTGATTTATGCAAACCTCAGGACAAGCACAGTGAGGCATTCTAGAGTATGTTTTAAAAGTGATATTGGAGGGATTCAGCATGACTTTGAGTTTCTCTACAGTGAGACGGCCAAAAATAAGAGGAACCAGAGGATCTGCTTCGCCATGACACTGCAGCACCGATATATCCTTATTATTGCTAATCATTGACTACAGAATAGAGACAGCAAGAGACAACAGACAGAAGAAAAAAAAATCACATATGAATATCATCATAAAACAGCATTTGTAAACTACATTACTTCTGTATGGAAACATATTTTTTTAGTAAAAAAGATTCAAAGAAAACATTTATCAACCTAAAACTGATTGAAGTGGACATTTCATAGCAGAATGGAGCCAGATTTGAATGAGATGTTGGATTTGGTGGACAACAGCTATCTATTTCTGAGGAGCCTTTTGACAAATGTTTTCTTTACTGTTTTAGTGTAGCAGAGAATAATAATTATGAGTGAATATTGTGTATATTGCTGCGCCTTATCACTGAAAGGCTGCATAGATGGGCAAGGAGTTCTTGCCCAGAACAGAACCATACCACAAATCCAAAAAGTAGCCCAATTGTCAGTTATTTATGACAATAGTGGTCCGGACTTCTTTTGTTACAGAGGCCTTTCATGTCATTTACATGTGTCGCGCACTATATTTTTGTTAGTGGGAATGTAGCGAGGAGACGAGGAGTAACTCGAACAAACAGACTTTATTAAACAAAAAGGCAGGGAACATCGGGAACGTAGGAGACATGGAATGACGCAAGACACCGAACAAGGAAACCAGGAACAGAACACTCTTTAAATACACAACTGAACGAGGCACAACATTTTAATTAGAACATTTCAGAATATTTTATTTATGATTATATTTATTTGTCCAATTACATTTGAGCCCCTGAAAATGGGGGGACTGTGTATAAAAATGGTTGTAATTCCCAAGCATTTTATGTTATATTTTTGTTCAATCCCTTGAATTGAAGCTTAAAATCTGCACTTCAATTTCAAATATATATATGGGCCTAACTACACACACATACACATATGCATATATATAC